AAAAAAAAAAAAAAAAAAACAACTGACACCCCAAAACCCGCCTTCAGGACTTCCGGCTGCAACTGAAGCGGTTCCTCAGCCACTTTGACCTTGGGTGCATACTGCACTCTGGGCAGGGGGTTATACCCTTCTTATTGAGAGTGAAGGGTCTAGAGTGGCAGTGGTGGTGGAACTTGTGGTGGTTGACCGTCGTAGTAGTTGTTGTCGGAATTTTCTCGGGCCTTGGGTTTAGGCTGGATTTACTCTAGGTGGTGAGGTCGCAGCTGGTCCAAACTCACCAAAACGTGAGCAACCTGAAACCTCAAAGGACTTGGTAGTCCACAGCTCCACGATACGCGGAGAACGCTTTCCGAGCTCTGAGTCAGACTTAGTGGCTGCGGCCCGAGAACCGTGGTCCTTTCAGCAATACTTTCAACGAGTATCGTATCGAACCGCACCGAACTTCAACATCGGGGACGGCGCCAAACCGAACCGGAGCCCTCCCACCTCACCTTCCACACGGTAGCTTCCGCTCCACCCTTGCTCCCCCTCGGATCCCAACCCACCTCCCGGCAGCACCGAACCGCCCCGCACCGACAGGTCACATCCCGGAAGGAAACCGCAGGCAACGCCAACCGTAGCGAACCGAACCGTAACACCCATGACAGACCCCCCCACGATTCCGCAAAATGGTTTAAAGCTGCCCTGGCATAGCAAACCCCCCCAAGGAGCCAGAAACATTGAAGCCTAAACTCCAGCCCCTTGCACTCTCCGCCAAAGCGCCTGGGCCCGCCGTGTTGGCGATGCGTCAGGCGTGCGCCCCTGCTAGTGGAATTGACCCTCTGACGTTAGCAGTTGATTTGGGCTCCGACCATTTACGATTTTAAGGGCTCCACGCTATGATCTAAGACTGTGGGGTCGTAGCCTATTGTTTTCTAAGGTGTAGGGTTTCAGGCTTTTGCATTCTATTCCATGGGCGGCATTTTCAAGGACACCAACATAATGTTGGAATAGATACCTCCGGAGGACAATGAGAGATTTTTGAACGTTCCCAACATGTCACTTAGCAAACCATGTCTTAAACCCCAAGTCCTAAACCCAAGTTCAGCCCTCGAATCCTGAAAATAATCACACAGACGGAGGGAAATCTCCAAGGCTCAGAAAGAATCACTTAGGCTTGGATTTGGGGTTGGCTCTGGAATCCATGCTTTGGGGGTTTGAGGCTGGGATCTTGAGATAGGTTTAAAGTCTGTAGGGTTTGTAGGGCTTAACATCAGGTCTCAGGTTTGTATTTGCGGCAGCGATGCAGGTCGTGGTGGCAGAAGCCGCGCTGTGAGAGCACAAGCATTTCTCGCTCATAAGGTGTGAGAGGCTGGGCAAAGAACCCGAACTGGCTACATTCCTTCCAAATTCCGAAGCAAACCGATTGTCCCGAACTGGCATGGCTTTAGGGCTTGCTGTTGCAGGTTGCAGCAAATCCTACACCCCCCAACCCTTTGTTCGCCTCAGGGTTCAGGGTTTTGGGATTTTCTAATTACGGAATAGACGTTGAATGCACCTGGGACCGCCGTGTTGGCGATGCATCAGGCGTGCAGGCCTGCCCATAGCTTCCAATCTTTAGCACCTAAAGGTATCAGGTGCGGTGTCTATTAGGGGGGGGGGGTTACGATTTAGCGTCAATTTAGCGTCCAGGATTTGCTTCTGGAAAATTCTTGCCCTCAACTATAATAACCTTCCGGCTTCGAAGACCTCCGAGGCCCACCCACGAGGTTTGTAGCTCGGATTGGAATCTAAGGTTCAGGCTTTCAGCTTTTGCCTTTGGAGTCCAACTTTCGGCTTTCTAACAACCCATACTGCATGTGTATATATATATATATATGTAAATATCTATATACAAAGGTACAAAGATATGTATATATATATATATATACACATATATATATATATACACACATAAACAGAGAGAGAGAGCATTATATACATGCACAGAGTATGTGTATGTATGCATATATCTATATCTATATATATATATATACAGATAGATATAGATACCTTACATGTTCTGGATACCTTCGTTGATGCATAGTACTTGCGGAGCCTCGGGCCAATAAGTCCAGTAATTCCTACACCGCATCTCTCCAAACCTCAACCCCAACCCCCAGGCTTCTGAACCACGGGTGCCGAGAACTCCCGAAGCCTGCAAGTACCCTTCATCCCAAATCTGAGGCCTCGGGGGCCCTCTATTGTCCTCAACACCCCTAAACCCTAAACCCCCCAACCCTGCACCTTAAAAGCATAGCCCGAGATCTTAAGACTTGGCTTTGAAACCGGAGTCCTCTTGGATCCTAAGGAAGGCCCGGAATGCCTGACAGAATTGAGCAGTGAAGCTTTGAGCCTCTTGAAGACGCGAGCCCCTCAAGCCTTGAGCTGCAAAGCCCCGAAATGGAGTTCCCTAAATTAGGGTCCTTTTCTAGTTCCCCAATATAGTACGGCACTGTTATAAAAGGGACCCTGAAAAGGACCTAATTTAGAGAAATACCCACATCGGAACCTGTGTTTGAACAGAAGGAAGGCGTGGCTGATGGACGACCATTTGTGCTGGGCTTGTAGAGCCTTTGCCAGACAGGGTCCAAGGTAAATTGGGGAATTGCAGCTTACGGAACTTGGGGTTATGCAAGGGTTCGGAGGCTTAGGGTTATGGCCCTTTGTAAATTTTATGTTAACATAACCGGGCTGTATGAAACCTGACTCTCCAAACAGACTCTGATGGCTTTGCTTGAGATCCGGCCTGCACGGGCGATCCCAAAACTTCGAAGGCCAAGCCTACAGAATGATAAGCTGAAAATCCTAAACGTGCCAGTATCACAAAGGACCTACCTTTTTGAAGATGGGCATGTGAAGGTTCATGACTAGGAACCTGAACAAGCTGTCATTGAGCTCCTATAAAGCCCTACGACACTCTACAACAATCCCAATAAACCGACGAGGCCTTTTGAACCTCCCTAACAGACTTTATGACTAATCCCTACACAGCTGAATCGCTAAGTCTAAGTACAGGGTGGACAAGGCACGCGAGCGGATGACCTGCTCCAGGCGGTGAACCTCCTGAAGAAAGCCCGGGAGGACACACTCGGAGGCATTGCGTACTGTAGGCTTCAGTGTTTTACGTGTTGCTACAAAATAGTACTGGTTATGACCCCATAAACATGGGGTGCAACCCTTAGGCTAGTACATTCTTGAATCCCCAACTCGTGCCCTCTCGAGGCTTGATATAGGGTTTTAAGCTGGTTTTTCACACTGGCCATTTAAGATGGTTTTGAGGGATAAACCAAAAGCGCCAAGCTCGGAGCTGAGGCCAGTCGTCGGGTTGCAGGCTTAGGGAAGCTCCGGGGCATGGTTTGAAGCTATCAGAACTCCGTAATTCCTACACAACCCTCCCCCTTTCCCCACCCTCCCCGCTTCCGGAGACACGGCCTGGGCCACTGACCCCCGTGCCGAGCTTCCATCGCTGGCAGCCCGAACGGGTTCCGCCGACGGCGTTGGTGCCGTCGCCTTCGTTGGGCTAGGATCAAGATTTGGGGGGTTAAGGGGCTTGGGGGCTTTATCGGTTTTGTTTGGGTGTAAGATTGGGGGGTCATGAATTGCGTTTTGGAACATTCTAAGGGGGTCATTTTGGCATGGCTTGCGTGCTCCTTAGCCAACAAGTTCAGGCATAATGCGTTGCCAAAGCTCTTGTTAAGACTCGAACAAGCTTCGGGGCAGCCTTTACCATGGAGTAATCATGCAATGATTCTTCAGGTTCCTACGTTTGTTCAGCTGCGCCTCCCCAACCACAGCAGATCCTTTTTCGACCGGCATGGCTGAGTGCCTGGGTGTGGAAGTTGCAGGGGCAACGGTTCAGGGTTTCGGGCAGAGGGTTAAGGCTAAGCATCGGCTAAGAAGTTTCACAAGCTTGCACGGGTGCATTAGTTTGGCCTCTATCAGGGGAGTGTCTGGGGAGCTCTTGGGGATTGAAGGGCTTTAGGCAGGTTCAGACAGGGTAGGAGCCAGCTTGAGCAACGTCCCCTTGTCACAAGACCATCGAAAGCCTACAACCACAATGCTCTAAAGCCCGAAAGCAATGCAACTTTCGAGTAGGAAAGAGCAAAGAACTCGAAACCTGAAGGAAAACCTCAGCCTTCCCTGACTGAGCACACAGTGAAACACTTTAAACGACACACAACTGTCACAAACTCCTGTTTGTTCTCCTCGTTTATCGAAGCCTCAACCTGGGCTCCAGCTTCAAACCATGTCCCGCCAACGAGCCACCACCACAAAACACTACTGTCACTACTATCATGGAATAATACTGGTAGACAAACGCCAACACACAAATATCCGCGATAATCACCAAGCATGGCAAGTGGATCACGAGTCAAAACAAGCGAAGAACACGAGCTTCTTTGGGCCAGCGGCAAGGCTGGTTGCGTCTCCACCTCGGCGATGTGAATCTCCCGATGGGCAGAAGCTACCGGCAGCGCTGCTTCGCGCGCCGAGGCTGAGTCCTCTGCTCTTTTTGGGGCTCTGGGGTTTTAGGGTTTAGGGTTTAGGGTTTAGGGCTCTGGGGTTTAGAGCTCTGGGTTTTTTGGGAGTTCGGGGGGCTTGACGGTTCATTGTGTATATAGGGCTCGCGATCATGCAGTGGACCCACACTGGCCGCTCCACTTCCTCGCTTTTCGCGGAACCAGTGGCAGAGCACGACAGAAAAAGGAAAGACACCCTTTCCGCAAGGTAAGGGGATTTAAGGAGCTTAGGGTGTCGGGCTTAGGTGGATTAGGGTCTGAGATAAGCTACGGTTGACAATTCCATGCCCTCTGACTGTCCTACGGAACTGAACCCTGGAATCCCTGCCGCGTGTATAGTACGAAGTATCTAGTTCGACTCTCAGCCCAAAATAACTCCACAAAGAACTGATTCAGCTCCCAGTGGACGAAAGTACCCTCTAAAGCGAGAATCTTGACCCACAAATGCATCGTCGGTTCCCGCCGTCGGGTTCTTGTCGTGAGGCGAGACAAGTAAGCCCTGACTAGTCAGTCCTCGGAATGCTTGACAGAAGAAGCTCCGAAGTGACAAACGAAGAACAACAAGAGTACATCACGTGGCAAAGGGACGCATAGAAAACGAGACCGGGGTCTTGGAGCTGATCATAGAGGGCGTGATACTGCATGTTGCCGTATTTGCGGAAACGACCATGGACCCTCAACGGTTTTACTATATTTTGATTAATGTAGACAAATGCCCGGGCCCGAAACCCTGAAATCTAAGCCCTGAGCCCTAAACATCCCTAAACCCCGAAACCTCAGCCCCATGCCCTGGAGATCCCTAAACCCCAAAAGCTGAACCCTAAGCCAAAGAGAACCAACATTCCCACTGTCCTGCTCGAAGAGCAAGCCAGAGCCTCTGGGAGCCATGGGCACACTTTGGTGCCTTGGCATCCGGCGGCATCGCACTCTTCGGCTGCTGGAGGCTTCAGGATTTGTATGCTTCAAAATCGAGGCTCGTTTTTTCTTACATCATGGGTCCCGCTGGCAAGGATCTTACCATTTAAGGGTAGCTGCTACCGGCAATATCGGGGTCCTCTGTTTTCTGAAACTCCGTTGGGGTGCAGATTTCAAGATTTTGGGTGCGCAGCCGTTAGCTTTCGGGCATAGCCGGAGCTATGATGTCTGCTGGATTTTCTTCCAGAATCTACGCCTGTGAGGCTGCGCTTATCCCTGAGCGTGTGAGCTGGAGCGTTGATAGTCTAGGGTCATGGGTCGATCATTGAACTTGCGTACTAGGGGCTTTGGGCCTAGGGTGTAGGCTTGGTCAACGGTCATTACCTCTTATACTCAGAGGTTGAGCGAAAACCGCATGCCGCCGCGTTTAGGATGTCTTTGGGATTTGGGATACTGGAGGTCGTTGCGTATTTTGAGGTCGTGTACAGCAAACCACGCACACTTCTTCGCTCAAGTCACAGATGTCATCACAAAAGAGTAGCTCGTGAACCTTAGTAGACTCACGAAACAGCCTAAACCCTAAAACCGCCGAAGCGTCGAAAACAAGCTGAAGTTCCAGTCTTGGTTGCTCTTCCAGCGCTGAGCTCGAGCTGCTGCGCCTCTCGCCGACGGCGATCGGAGCATCTTCTTCCAAACGCTGCTCCTGGACTAGCATAGGATCACTGGATCAAGGAATCAAGGATTAAAGGGGTGTTCCGTTGGGAGAAGATGCTGCCTGGGCCTGGGTGCAGGCCTTCCATGCCACTCCGCTTTTCAGCCCAACAAGGAAAAGTGGGCTCAAAGCCATTTTCAATGAATAAGAGCCCCTTGAACGGTGCTGTTTCTGCATCAGGCCACACGAGGTCACTGCTTAGACCATGAATCCATAAACTCGACAAGCCCCCCAAAACCCAAGACTAGCCTAACACCCCACACTCCAAACCCAACAACAACCAAGCTTTCGCCCAAGAGACGGCCGCCCTCAGTTCGGGCGAGGATGTCTCCAGAAGCGCCTCCACATCCAAGTTGGACCTCTGCAACCCTGGCTTATGGCTTTCCGACTGGGGAGGGTTGAGTGTCTAGGCCTCGGGTCTCAAGGCTTTGGGGAGTCTCAGAGGATCAGCTTCACAGCTTGACCCCTACAGTCACATATGCGAATCGGTGCTCCCAAATCTCAACCGTCCTTCCGCCGCAATGCAAGCCGATTCGAGATCTATTTCCGAACCACTGCCAAGTACAACTTTAGGGACACCTCGGCTTCAAAACAAAATGATGCTTCCTCCGAGAGTGTACTCATGGCTGGCTGGGGCAGGGCACGCCCTTGCACCGCGGAAAGGAAATGCGAAAGACATGCGACCACCCCAAATCGCACATCAGAGTGGAGCCAACCTTCTCAAAACGGCGCGGCTCCGATCCCTAAACTCTTCAAAGTGCAGGGGTCTGAGTCTGGGATCGGAGAAACAGCAAGTCTTAGAGTCTGAGCCGCTGTTCACCCTAAGGCTCCAAGGACTCATATTTCGAGGCTTTTGCGGCCCAAAGACCATACCAATAAGGCTTTCGGGCTCGTTTGGTCCTTAGGTCACCTGACCCTTCGATTGGTCTTGGCGTCGCACTCGCCATCGAGGCTGGAACTCGCTGCATCGCTGCTCTCCTTATGGGGTTCGGGTTTAGGGTTTTGGGGCTTGGGGTCTTCCAGAAATCCGTGAAGTACCCTGCATGAAGGTTTGTTGAAACCTTTCTGTTGTCGGCAGCTCTGTTCTAGCATACAGTGCAGTTGGAGCCGCTTCACACCAAGGAGGCATTCATTCCTGCTCGTACACTCTGTTTGCTCTTGGCGTCAGGGGTCTGCTTCGAGAACCAGGACAAAGCTATTGAGGGGTTGAGGCCTTAGATGGCCAGACTCGTGGATTCATGCCCAAGTGTTAGTCACACGACCTAAACTTGCAAAGTGATGGCGTCCCTATGAAGTTTTTGATGAAGGCAATGCATCTCGAGAACCCTCGTTGTCCAAATCCTGAACCCTTTGCACCGAATCCCGAATGATGACATCAAACTAAACTCGAACACTGCGAACCGTTCTTAACCTCAATACCCTAAGCCCAAGACCGTCAACCCCAACACACACCCTACCGTGACCCTAAGCATAATCACACCCTAAACAACACAGTATAAACCCCGCCCGAACCCTTAGCCCAATGCACTAAACCAAAATAGGAACCCTCCCCTGCCTTTACTGCTCCTAGTAGTGACAAAAACCAGTATGATACAGAAGTACAAACCGTAATCGGAATCGTGAAAGTAGAAGTCATAGAGGTTCTAGTTGGAAAAGTAGCTACAGATTTTCAGTAATGCTGTAATTAATACCCCCCCCCCCCCTCCGGGCTAAGGCACCAGGAGTGCGAGGTCGGGTGCCACGGCTGCCGGTGCGGCTGCAGTCTGCCCCTCCAGGCCAAAGGTCGTGAGGGCTTCGAACAGAAATATGCGCGGCCTTGTCTTTAAACACGATGTCTATGTTCTTAGTCTAAGTTATGGGGTTGCACATGTGGGTTGTAGTATACGGACCTTGATAAAATCTTAGCTTCAGAAAAGATCATGAACCCTGAAACTGCGAACCCATAAGCCATGAATCCTAAACACTTGACCCTGGCACGTCAAGGCTTTGCACGCGCCTTGGGCTCTTCTGCAAAGGTCGGCACACCTCGTGATCAGGCGCAGCAGGGCAAACATGGGCGAATCGAGCCCGAAGTCGAGTTAAGTTGAGCGATTGGGGATGGGCTGATTGGTTTGAGGGCTCTTGATCTTGTCCGTCTCTACGAGCTAGAACGCTATGATGGATGTGTCTTTTCGGGACCAAGGTGGCGTGCGGTTTAGGATTCGGGCACAGGCTTCTTGTAGTGAGGCAAGGCTTTCGGCTCAGCGCTTGGAGCCTTAAGATCTGGAGATGATTCTGTTGTTCGAGCTACCTTACGTAATCGTCCGGTAAACTTGCTTCTTAAGAAGCCCACGTCCATACCTTCCTTGTCCCTGCAAGCCGTTGAGACGGCCTGCCACGTCATCGCCAAGATGCCATCCCATGCGTCTAATGCAGTCTCTGGACATGCATGTGCATGTGTGTTACAAGGTGCATTTTCATAGTCACAGTCATCGTCATAAGCCTTTGTCATAGTCAGTGTTACTTAGACTTCGATATTTCGCAGCTCGTGACAGCAGCACAACTGGTCAGCTTCCCTAAGCGCTCTTCCCCGGTCTTCCCATACGTGTGTCCAGCAGATTGTCCATTTCTTCGTCCCCCATCTTATCTGTGCACAGTCCACCTGGTGTCGAAGCAAGGCCCCTCGCCTGTTGATGTCTTGTTCTCGGGGGAGGTAGGGCCAGAAGCTGGAAGCAAAGCTTCCACATCCTGGGCAGATTCGAGGGGTTCTCGGGCCCGGGACAACGGTTGAGGATTTTTGTGGCTTGCAAAGCTTACGCGAACAAACTTCATAGAGGGAAAGGCGCTGCTCGTCTTTGCATCCCCCCATGCTTAGTGCCTTAATGATATGACCACTCACGGTTTCAGGGCTGTGGAATTTTAGTGCATTTTGCGCTGGGAAGGTTGAAGGAATCGGAGCTTGTGATGCGAGTCTCTGTCAACCTTTCTTCCCTGGCAGATGCCTCTTCATTGTCTTCGACCCAAATCGCCATCATCGTATGTCAGACACTGTAAACTGCTACACCAAATCCCAAAGCCCACTCCTGTCCTTCATCGACCCCAGAAACACATGACCTACTTTTTTACAACTGGCTTGGCAACGTCACGCCAGGACAGCTACTTAAACCCCATTCCTTCCATCATAACAACCCTCAAAATCTAGGCCGCTCCTAAGCCCTAGAAGCCTATATAAAATACGGACCTGCCACCCATAAAGCCATTAAAGTGCCAACAACTCCGAGAGCCCGGCCAAAGAGTCGCTGGTGCCGGAATCGTCGGAGAGGTCGGAGTCCAAGCCTGGGCAAGTTTTGTGGGGCTTTAACGGGTTTAAGTAGAGGGCCTTTAGTGGTTTAAGCGGCAGGCTCTAAGTAGAGTTTCAAGGGTTTCAGGGCGTTTAGCGTTTAGGGGTTTAGTTTAAGGTTGTAGGGCTTTGAGGCTTTGAAAGCTTTGGGGCCTTTAGGTGCTCGGGGGTTTTCAGAGCGTCAGGGGTTTCGCACTTTGGGGGTTTACGGGTTTGGGGTTGACGATTAGGCATGGGTCAGATTGGTGTAGTTCGGGGACCTATTTGGTGTTCGAGTTCGGAGGGGTGTCCACGTTCGGTAGGTCCTTCTGCACAAGGATTTCAAAAATTAAGCTGGGTGCAATGCATCTATGACGCGATGCGCTGTGCACGGCTCATCCTGCACCGTTATGCCTCGAAGCTATTGAAAAAAGACAACCAGGTCCATGACTTAATTAGGTCCTGAAGTGAAACTTAGCTTTAGGGGCTTGCTGGTCGAGGGCTTTTGTGCAGGGTACGACGGGCAGGTGGGGGCGATTTCTGTACTTTACTCCAGCACTGAGGCAGAGTGGGAGTGGCCGCACGTTCGGCTCCCCGGGTGTCTGGTCCGTGCATTCTTCTTGCATATGCATATCTGCTGGCCGTCTGGGCATGACAAGGGTGGCTCAGCACATGGAGCGACAAGCATGTTGGTGCGTCGTGCGTCAAAGCAGCACTTGTTGACAGTTTGTCCGTGCATGCCACAGGAACTAAGATAGAGTTTGGCTAATGAGAACTGCAAACTCTCCATGTGTGGAACTACAGAATTTGGATGTCCAGCGCATGTTTTCAATTTGGGGCATTTTTGGAGACCAGCTGCCTGGGATAAACAAACATCGGACCCGAAGAAACTCAGCTTTGCTCGAAGTGGCATTGAGAACCACCAAGCCACCAAGACAGATGAATTGCGGCGCTGATTCTTCAAAAGTGACACATCGCAAGCCTCCACCTAATTATTGCAACATGCACGCCTCCAGCAACCCCTCCAATTCATGCAGTTGCCTTACAAACCAGAATTTCTCTCAACCTCTGACTCTTACTTGGTCCCCGAGGTCCATACCCAGCTCGGCTAGCACATCATCGCCAGCCATGGCATGGCAAGGACGGACGGTTTGTGCCAGCTAGCCTACAGGCGCTGTCAGCAACAGCTCACAGTGTTTGAATGTCTTCTTAGTTCATGTTTATGTTTCACGAGCTTTATATAAACACCTATGCACTTGAACGAAACTATGTATGTGCTTCGGGGTCAAGGCTTCATGGGGGAGTGCACACCTGCAGCTTGAATTCCTGAACGGTTTCTATCTTCATCTTGCTGATCGGAGCTTGTTGGTTTCAGACAAGGCTTGCGACTCGCTAAACGGCAGGCCCTGAATCCTGTAGATACATACCCTGAGCCCACAACTGCGCGAAGCACTCTGTAACCCCTTCCTGTAGTGCCAAAAACCTCTTGTGGCCCCAAGAGCCTTTCGGAGGTAATATATCTGTACATATATATATATATATACGTATATGGTTCAGGTCGATCTACAGGCCCCCGAATATAGGACACCTGCGTTTTTCCTTGCAGGCTGCACGAAATGCCGAGACTTCGGGGGTCCGAGGGGCCGCAGGCGAAGCGCGGGTGGCTGGGCCAGCTGCCCCCAGAACCGTTTCCAGGGAAAGTAGTTTTGGGGCTGTTCAGGGCGCGGGGTTACCTACCTACCTACCTACCTACCTACCTACCCACCTACCTACCTATCTGTCGATCTATCTATCGATCTATCTATCGATCTATCTATCTACCTATCTGTCTATCTATCCATCTCTGTCTTTCTATCTAGGTATCTATGTAGCAGCGTCTCCATGTACCTATGTATCTATCCATATATCCGTCCGTCCATCCATCCATCTGCCTGTCTGTCTGCCTACCATTTACACACAAAAGCTGCAGCTATGTGTATGTGAACTACTGTACCAACTTATGCACATTCCAGGTATAAGCTGAGAGCTGACCGTGTGTACCTTTGCATCTACATATACTAAGAGGATGAGGGCTCAGGGATAACCGCTCCTCTCTGACGTGCGGGGGAGGTCGCTTTTGCGACCCCACTCCACTCGCGTCCCATGAGCTGGCGAGCTGGGCTGCATGCACTTCTACTTGACGAAGCCATGGTCCGCAGAATGTGTCCGACGCTTGATCTACAAAAATGGTACCTTGTCTCTTCAAGTCCCCTCTACCAGTCCTTGGTAGCCTGTTCGGGTTCAGGATGCGTTACGAGATCCACGTTTTGAGTTTCGGAATTTGAACTGTTAGTGTCGTGGTTGCCCGCGTGTGGTACTTGGACTACTTGCGAAACAATAAAGGCCCAAATCCAATCCGCACGGATGACCAGAGCTTCCAAATCCAAACGAACAACTTGGGCCCTGGACCGGAAGTTCAGCTTCAACATAAACCCGTAAGCTTTAGCGTGCAACCCTGCCTCCATCCATACTCCAACACTAAAGACTTAGGGTTCCAAAAGACCCTTTGGTGAGCCCAGAGCCCTCTTTGTGAGCAAGAGTCTTCCGAAGCTCCCTTAAAGCCCTAGACGCCCCAAACCGCAAATCCTCTGCACTGAAAATGGCCTGCGATCCTACAGCCGTACAAACTAGGACAGTAAATCGACAGCGGCCAGCTCGCCTGACTTCCGAGGGAAATACTGTACTTCACATACTACTGCTCGGAGCAATCGGTTCGTTATGTTTCTGGATTTAGGGTTTGGCGTCTTACCATGAATGAGTCATACCGTCAAACCCATTTGGGCTTGCAGCTTGCTGCCGAAACTGGAGCTTGAAAACCGTGCGCCTTAGACAAGTTGGTTTCCTGACACCCTCAGCCAATGTTCAACCAGGAAGATGGAAAATTACAATGTAAGTACAGCCATGCACTCTAGGATCTTCGACCGTCCGACAACGTTTGGGTTGATCTGAGTCGCTGGATGAGATGCCAAGGGCTTCTTCGCAAACTTTGACAAGGGCTCACAGCGGGCGTCTTGAAATCAGTGGTACCTCCCTCCTTTGCTGGAACCCCTCATCTGCCAGTAGATTGCAGGATGGGAATGCTCATCTAGACTAACGTTTCAAGCTTTTACATTGAGTATTCGGGAGATTCCTCCGAGCAAGTAAGTAGCGCAAAATGGTGCACACATCTTCCACTGGTCATTGGCAAAAAGCGGCATGGCATGGAAGCCTGGCATGGTGATGGCTCAGGTTCGTGGTTTGGGTAAGTCTTACAAACCCGAAACCCCACAGCCTTAACTGCAGCTCTGCACGCTTGCAGGGCTTGGGAAGGGGAGAAAGATCCAGGTTGAGCATAAACACCAACTATTTCTTGATATTGCTCGAGAGGGGTGTGGGGTTGAGAGTCGTGGAATAAGTATTTCAAGACAGCTATCATTAGCAATCGCGCAAATGATCTTTCGATGGGCGATGAGAATCAGAAACATGCCAATACTACTGCCTTCAGCAGAAACCAGTGGACACAAGAGGGAATGATGGTAGCAAACACTGAACCATAACCCAGGACCGAAATATCAATCGAAAACGAAGATTTCACTGCTCAGGGCCTTGGAATCCAAATGGGTGAAGCGGTGCGAAATCCTATGCACATCCAAAAACGTTGAAGATCCGACATAAGGGAGATATGAGGCAGACAATACGACCGTAATAATTATTACGATAAGGAATGTTTACTGTCTGACACATAGGCACTGGGTAGTCCGGATTGTCCGGGGCTGTGCTGCGGGCGGCGAGGGCTGTCGCTTGGCGGCTTGGGCGTTAAGCTGTTCGTTTCTTCTTTGCGCCCCTTCCGATCCGGATTCAAGGCGTTCCGGGTCTGAGCGTCATTGGTCAAGGCAGGCCTGAGATTTTAAGGGCTCAGGGAGCCTCATATCGGGAAATTTGCTTAGCCAGCGGCTTTCGTTTAAATACAGGTGCGCTCCGATGGACTTCGCTACGTGAGCATCTAGCTCCCGTTCCTCAGGACCCTTGATTTTGCTCCCAAGTAAGGCACTGAAACCTCGTGAACACCGCTTAGCCTTCCCTGAGCTGAACACTTTCTCGGCTGTGGGATAAAGGCATTCGCTTTACAAGCTTCCGTGTTTTGAGACAATGCTTCCGAGTTTTCGATTTAGTTTTGGGCATGGTAGCAATTACCTCAGACAGAGGCACAGCTACTATGGAGTGCAGCGTAGGGCCCAACGTCCACTCGAGCTTTTTAACCATAAGCCCTGAACCTTACGACGTAAGCGGTGTACGAGGCCTCCGTGTGAACGATGATGGCTCGCTCAATAGCGGCCTTGCAGCACCCACAAGAGTTTATGATTTAGGCCTTTTGGCTTCGTTGGGGTTTAGTGTCGTAGCATGTTTTAGGGCTTTGGGCTTTGAAGGCGTTACAGGTTAATGGACTGTAGGAACCTGAGCAAGAAACAAGTAATCTGATAAAGGCTCTGAATATAGATCCTACACTCTGCCTTTTTTGTTGGTGGGAGGGTTAGTTAGAATGCAGGGATTCTGTATCAGGTCCTGCATTACATGTTCATGGTTGCCATGTGGGCTGTTGAGTATACCAAAGCAAACAACCCAAACCCCAAACCCTGCAGCAGCAACAGGTTCCAGTCTATGAAAGACTTGAAGTTGGAAGCACAATCTGTTGGCATCTGGGTTCCGGCCCATCTTCACGCGACATCATCTGAACTGAAGCTCTGCATCTTCGCTAAAAATCATAAGACATGCACTCCTCAGAGAATGGCGCAGAACACAGAAAGTAGAACCTTGCCAGATGCAATGAATACCGAGACCTGTCTCCGGCACATTTTCTTCATCTTCGCCGTCATCATCATCATCATCATCATGATCATCAAAAAGACCATCGTCGGCATCATTCTTAATCTCCAACATCAAGTCGGCAATAGCACCAGGATTCTACTAGGACGACACCGCAACCATAGTCATACTTTTCGTCGTTTCATCAGAATGCGCATCACACCATCACATCACCATCATCGTGAACCCTAACCATATTGTTAAGCTTCGTCTTGATTGCCATCATCATGTTTAATTCCATCATCCATCATCGTCACCATCATCATGATCTGAACACCGTCATGTTCTTCTTCTCCTTCACCACCACCATCAACTTCATCTCCATCTTCATCATCATCGACATCATCATCATCAACACACATCACCATCGTCCTGACCCCTCGTTCCCCGAAACCAGATTCGAAAACCAGAACAGTATCACCAAGGAGTGTAATCAGTCTAAGGCAGCAGCCTCGGTATTGCGGAGAAGACGACGGACAGGGAGCGGCACTGTACGAGGAGTATGCCTGCGGGCCAAAGACTTCAGGATTTCCCTTCTACAGCCACGCTGCTCACTTTCGTGGGCTGAGGGTCTTAAACACGGGACCGACATATGTCGAAGCCGCAAAACTCAACACCCGAAACATAGCCAGATGGCTGCCAGATTGAGACTTTTGCGCGATCGTGCCTGCGTTGTGCGTGCGTGCATGTGTGCAGTTTTGTGCATGTGTGCGTGTGTCTGTTCCCATGTAGGTCTTTGTGTTACAATGCTGTTTCCAAGGTCTGCGTCCATGGCCGGTTCAGGGCGGATCGTGAATACCGATTGCCCGGAAGCCAGATCTATTCGGGGGCCAACGGTTGAACATGTTAAGTTCTTAGTTCTTGGCTTTAGCTCCAATGTGTTTTGGGGCAGCTCGACAAAGCGAACACTTTCAAACGACATTAAACACTTTTTGGAGAACAGCGGACAATTCACCTTCTTCATGCCGTCTATATGAGGCTTTCGGAAAAGTATGGGTCCCTTGTAGGGATTCTTATATCAAGGATCCTACTATTTGCAGATATGCACTGCATTTCCTAATTTCTGAAACTCCGTTTTTCAATTCAAGGCACCTCATAGCTTACGCTTCAGTCGACCCTCGCCACCATAGCCCTGCATCCTCAACCTGCAAGACCCAAACCCAGGAGCTCAAATCTACTATGGCACACTTCTGAAAGGGTCTTACTGTAGGGTTCAGGGTCAGTGCAAGCCAAGTCCTAGATCCCGCTT